CCCAAACCCCTAAACCCCGAAACCAACTAGACTTGGAGAGTCGAAGTCCTGCAGCTCTAGCCGGCTACCTGGAACTTCGCGCGCGCGGTTTAGGGTTTAGGGTTTAGGGTTTAGGGTTTAGGGTTTAGGGTTTAGGTGCTCCTGACCTTGTCCAACTTTGCCAAAGACGGCGGAGGCTACGCAGGGACCTTTCGGGTTTAGGTGTTTAGGGGTTTAGGGTTGATATAGGGGTTTAGGGTTTTGGGTTTAGGGGTTTAGGGTTTAGGGGTTTAGGGTTTAGGGGTTTAGGGTTTAAGGATTTAGGGTTTAGGAGTTTAGGGTTTATAGGGTTTGTTGCAAAGATTCAGGGTTCTTTTGCCGCCGGTGTTTCGCAAACTTCTAAACTTCGGCACGTACACGAGTCGTCCACCCTGAAGCTAAAATCGGGCAAAGCCAGTCCAACCTCTGGAACTTGACCCCTAAAGCCCTGAGTGCTGGAAGCCTATTTGCTTTTCAACTTGTGATTTCTCCGTCGTACGGGTACATGCCTCTTGAACCCTACATCCCAGAGGCCTTTCAAGCTACAAAATATACAAAGATGATGATGATGATGATGATCCAGGGTTTGAAGTTGAAGGTGTGGCATCTATGGTTTACGGTTTACATGATTCCCGGGCAACAAAAGGTGGCATAATGGTAGATAGGATGAAGGATCTCCTACATAATGACTCCTCTTTGGGAATGCTCCACCGGCCTTCATCCCACCTTTCAACCCGATTGTTTGGGAGGTGGCCGCTTCTCGTTTCAAGCGAACAATGCCTACCGCAACGAGCGGAGCACGGCCACGCTGAACGTGCCGTACTATGTAACCGACGATTTTGAGGAGCACTACAGCGAAGGCCCGGCTTTAGGGGACTACAACCCCAAATCCCGCAAAATAGCAGGTTACGGCGGACAACAAGTGTATAGTGCCCGAACCGCAAAGTCAGAGCAAGATATCGGTTCCAGTCAAGAGTAGAGTTGTGGATATGAGAGGGGTTTGGAGACTATCGATGTTTTTCGGGTAACCTGAAAGAGGTCTGAACAGAAGCAACTTCTCATGACCTGAAAATATGAAAGCGTAAACATGTAAATATTAGTCTTATGATATACTATGTCTGTTAGCTACAAAAAATCCCTAGCCCTAATCGCTGCCCAAACCTCATACCTAAGCCCTATCAGGCACCCGCTCCCTGGCAGAGTTCGACCGGCAAGTGGAGACATTTGGCTGCTCTTGTCAGCCGCAGACTGATCACTATCTTTATCCTTGCTGTCAGTAGTACCACCACCGACGTCGTCACCATGAACTGTATCATCGTCATTGTCATCATACAGCATCTTTATGGCCAATGTCATCCTAAACACGACCTGGTGGTATTTAGTCTTAGTTTGTCATCATCCTGATCATTTTCAGCATCCTGATCATTTTCAGCAGCATCAGTATTAGCATTAACCCTTTTCGTCTTTGCCGTCGTCCTCGCTTTTGGTCGTCCCTAGCACGACTTCCGGAGCACGACTTCCGGAGTCAATATGTCCAGGATGATGTCAACGACAGTCGATGGTCAAGCATGTGCCGGCAGGTCGATCTCCGCTGTGGGACTGATTTCGATTTTGTCACCAAAGCAGCCAAGGATCTACCACATACGCAATTTGGGCAGTGACTGCGACTACCAGGAAAAGACGCAGTACAAAAAGGCAACTCGCTGGGCAGTTGAGAGGACTTAGCCATCTACCCTTAATACGTGTTCATTGTCATTGTACTTCATTGTTATGAACAAGAATATGAGTACGTCCTATGACTGTATTTATATAGATATCTATGTATACACACACGAACTTATTTACTGGTACATACTTCTATTCATATTTAGGTTTCCTAGCCGTAGAGATACTGTAATATACATATATGTGCATGCAGATCTTCAGAATGCAACAGAAGGTCCGACAGATTGATTCGTAACACCTCCCAAATGCCAATTTTTGGTTGGGCTCAGCCTCCTCCCATAACTCTCCCGCACAGACCCTAAACACAAAGCCTTAACACGGAAACCTAAACCCTGAACCTAAACCGACAGACCCAGGTCCTACAAGCAAAGCGGCGGAAGAACGAGGATGAGCTGCAAGTCTCTCGGTTGACACCGCGGTTTACGATTCAGTATATGGGTCTCAAAAGTACAATCAGAATGCCACAGGGATAGTAGTAGTAGTAGTAGTAGTAGTAGTAGTAGTAGTGGTAGGTACGTATTGCTAACTATCTTGGCCCGTAGACTACGGTCTTGTGATCCAATATAGAGGCCTTAGCAAATGGAATAGGTTTTTGGGCCATGTGATGCTCTACGGCACCAAGGACTAGTCTCAGCACGCATTAGCATCATACTAGTTTTTGGCCCCTATATTCTGGTCTGCATCGGGTTGCAGCCCAAGATCCGTAGTTGTAGTTTGGGGCTTGGTGTTTTAGTTCAGGCTTCGTAGCTCATGGGCTTCAAGGTCAAGCGTTTAGGATTGTAGGGTCTGGCGTTTAGGAGTACACCTGTCGCCCACCACCTACAAATTCGTTTTCTTCTCTAAGGTCAGGGTTTAGGGTTTAGGGTTTAGGGGGTTTAGGGTTTGGGGGGTTTAGGGTCTAGCGGGTTTAGGGTTTAGGGTTTCAGGGTTTAGGGTTAAGGCTTTAGGAAGCAAGGTTCCAAATGGCAGAGAGAGAGAGAGAGAGAGAGAGCGAGAGAGAGCAAACAAAACACACTGAAGTCCAAGTTTTCCCTCCCAAACCCTAAGCCTACTACCCCATGAAACCTGAACCCTAAGCCCTGAACCCTAAACGCCGAACCCTAAACCCTAAACCCTAAACCAGGAAGCTCGCAACCTTCCCCGGCCTGCCTGCAAAGAGCTGGAGCGGGTCAAGAAGCGACGCGGCCAGCAATGAGCCTCCACCCCCCAAAGAAGACACTCTAAGACTACAACTCCCTTAATAGATAGATAGATGATAGATAGATGCACAGACTGACACCCAGGGATGGATAGACAGATAGATAGATAGATCGATAGATAGATAGATAGGTTGATCGATAGATAGATAGGTCGATAGACCGGTAGCAAGATAGATCGGTAGATAGATAGATAGATAGATACATAGATACGTCTGAGTCTACATCTATTTAGGTATATAAACATACATCGATATTCATAGTATTTTGTAACATGACTGAAACCTTATCTGGCTTCTGTCTCTGATTTATCTGGCATGCGTGGACGCCTACGTGCACCCTCGATTATGCTTTCGGCTCTCCGTACATCTTCAGTTTAGGTAACTTCAGCCGGAAGTGTTGAGTCTTATGAGCCCTTAACCCCCTGAACCCCGAACCCTAAGCCCTAAACCTTAAACCCTGAACCCTAAACCCCCTGAACCCCAAACCCTGAACCCTAAGCCCCCTAAACCCTAGATCCTACATCCTGGAACTGCCGGAGCTTCAAGCACGAAATGGCTAACTATAGTATGTTTTAGGGTTTACGGTTTTTTACGGTTTATAAGGTTTATAGGGTTTAGGGGTTCGGGGTGAAGGGGTTTAGGGTTTATAGGCTTTATGGGTTTCAGGATGCATCTGCTGGTTCTGATAAAAAGGTTTGCTGCAGGGTTCCTCAGTATATCTGTTCGGTCAGGAAGTGGCCGAATCTTTTCCGCTCGGCGATGTACATGGGCGGATACTGAGACATTGAGCTTGCAAACGGAAGATGAAGTGCGGAAAAGATCTAGGTTTTTGAGTACTGAGTGTTGTAGTAGGGACTGCCAAGGTTAACAGCACATAATGCGCAGCAGCAGCATACATCCGAATTTGGGACACTACAAAGAAGCACAGTTTTACAGCTCTGGATACAGAAAGAGACAGATGGATGCTAAACACTAGCAAGTGAAGGTGATGCCTGCACAGGGCGAGCCGTCACGTAGTTTGATGTCTGGCTGCACAGGAACGGGAGGGCGGAAATTCCGCCGGTTGTTGTGCAATGCGGATGCAACGCAGCGCCGCAGCACCCCTGAAGCATGAGAAAGCATTTAATGTATTCAGTCTGCTACGGTGACGACCACGAATGCTACTAGTACTGATCGTAATGAACACTCATTGCCTTCGTTGTTGTCTTCAACCTGTGCTTGTGCAACGTTCCAGTTGTAGCATCGTGGCTCTTGCAGTGCCATGCTCGAGAGTCCTGTTGGTCCTAACAATGATGATGCTGGTGGTGTCGTTGACAAACCTGCTTCTTATGCTGCGCATGAAAAAATATAAGAGATCATGCTGATGTACATGGTCATGATGGTAAGGTGCAGGTTTCATTTGACGATGAAAAATTTCATACAGAAAACCTGAGCAGAGCAGTGGGGTCTGAGCAAAACCCCCTGTACTCCGAAGCTCAAAAATCAAGGGTTTTCCGCTGTTCCTGGATATATGCATGCTGCAATCTTTATGGGTACCACCGATCAAGATCAATCTGGGTTCAAGCTTGATGCTGCGTTGTTCTGGGAGCCCTGCTGCCACTGCCAACGATTCTTGTTTAACGCTGATGTTTGTGATAACAATTCCAGAGTACGATGAAGGCAACGTGCGACAGTTGATTCTCGTCCCTGTTCACCATCATCCCCACGCACGCAATCACGTTCATGTGCGGATTGTCACAGTTCATGATTTGGTGGTGAATGTGCACCATGCTTAAACGTCTCAGAGGCGGAGCATCGGTATCTCTACCTTTTCCCTGATTGGCCCTTCCGCGCCACAGAACTCAAACGCTTCCGCATCCAGCTTGCAACAACAAGCAGCAGTTCCTCTGTGCTAAGCCAACCTAGGCATGATCAGGCGTGCCGTGAAAAGTCTTACCCATGTCGCTTGCGATCCCTGCCAAATGCTGAAGATGCGCCGCCTACCAGTACTTGTACGGCTCGGCATAGAAGGGCGGAAGCTTGTTCTGGCTGAGTCTATAAGTGGTAGGGTGGTAGCTTGGTAGCACGGTTCCGAAGCTGCAGTCAGTCTGGTCTTTGCAGCGGCTGTTGATTTCGGATAACTCTTGCTCAGATTTCGGGGTCGCTACAGTGAAAACAGCAAGAATGGATTCAATTTCCCGCCAGGTCTAAACTAAACCAAACACAAACTTTGAAAAAATATAAAGACTTTAATGATAAAGCCCCAAGCTCCATCCTGGTGTGCTGGTCAAGGGTACAGGCGACACGAAGGGCCGTCGCTGGCGACTTCTGGGTATTTCACTTGCGTCTCACCTCAGCATCTCGGCGTTCTGACTGGGCCACGTGTGGCTCGCTTGCTTCGGCTCTCAGATATTCGGAGCCCTAAACCCTAAACCCTAAACCCTGAACCTTAAACCCTAAACCTTAAACCCTAAAGCCTAAACCCTAAACCCCAGACCGATTCTACACCAAATCCTCCCAAACCCTGGGGCCCTCGAGCCGATACCTGCAACTGCATACCATACCCGTCTTGAAATGGGGGTTTCCGAAAATGGGGGACCCTAATATAGTACCCTATGGTAGGATCCTTATTATAAGGACCCCAAAATAAGGTACCCCTGCTTTTCGGAAACTCCCAAATATGTTTAGCGTTTAGGGTATACTTGTCAGTGCCATCTACTGCAACGTAGAAGCAAGTGTGTTGAAAGACCCTGGGTACACATACATACATACATACATACATACATACATACATACATACAAATACAAATATGTGCAAATATACATATATATATATATATGCATGTATGCGGACCTTCATGTATCTGTGCTTGCATGTATGACATGTAAATAGCTGTTTATACATGCGTGTATGTGTACGCATGTATGTATGTAGGTATGTATGACTGTTTGCATGCATGCACGTGTGTATGCCTGCATGCAGGCAAGCTTGCATGTCTGCGTGCATGCATGCATGGATGCATGTATCTATGTATGTATGCATGGAGGTATGTATGCATAGATGCATGGATGGCATGCATGTATGCATGTAGGTATGTCGGATTGTTTGTTTGTTTGCTCGCTTGTGTTGTCTGTTTTTTTGTAGCTTTGAAAAAAGTCTGTGCGACTCCGATTCGTCTGAGCAGAAGCGATGTTGTTGAAGGTTTCTGTAAGGATTCAGTTTCATAGGGTTCTACAACGAATGCTACAAGCATACTATCACCAGTTCCAGGTTCAGGGACTACCGGACTCCGATCCTCTCTTTCTCTTCATAGCTGGTCGACGAAGTTAATCTAGGGGCCTTAATCGTTAGAATATGGTTTGGGTTAATTATAATATACTATAATGATAATGAGAAGCCACCAAAACCTTATTCTAATTATTCAGGCCCCTACAGTAGAGCTTCAAGCTGCCTGAAAGCAAAGGCCCTGCACCTTGCAGTGACCTCACTACACAGGTATCGGACGTGTAGGGGTAAGCCATAAAGGTTTAGGGTTTAGGGTTTAGGGTGGGTTTAGGGGAAACCATAACCCCTTCCAGCCGTACAACGACCAAAACCTAAGCCCTAAATAAGCCTTAAACCCTCCGGCCTTGATCCTACGCCCCGAACCCTAAAAAGGCGTTAAGCCCTGAACCCTAAATGGCCCAAACCCTCAAACCCGATAAAGGCGTTAAACCCCGAACCCTAAACCCTAAACCCAAACTATACACCCTAAACCCTGAAAAGGCGTTAAACCCAGAGGCCCTCTTCAAG